GTCACGAATTCATTTGACACGAAGACAAAAAAAGTAGTTTATTAGTTATGGGCATTTTTTGCTCAAAGGAGCGAAATATATTTCGTGTATTAACCAATTACGATCAATAAATAATCACGTGAATAGAGAATTTAAACACGAATGAAATTATGATGCTTGGTCGTTAATGGTCAATAATATTAATATTAAAATAACTGATTATTTTTAGAGTGTACATACCATCATCACCACCACAGACATTTGTAGATATTAATATTACTGTTGCTGCTTAGTAATTACCCAACAGAGGGTCTTTTAGAGAGATAGAGAAAGTCAGGCATATAGAGGCCATATATTATCGGTGTGTAGCTCTCCTGTCCTCGTATACCCTTAGAGTTTTCTTTAAATTTTACGAGTAATATAAGAAAGAATAAAAAAGGAAAAAAAATGGATCAAATAAAAAGACGGTACTGCTCAACCGTTGATGCACCCGCACAAACTACCGGTCACTGTTCTCCTCCTAAACGAGTTAAATTTGATTTAGATGAAGATATCAGACGACGCGTAGAAACAACCACGTCCGAAGAAGAAACAGAGCAAATTGTAGTCGCGTCTTCTTTTAATAAAGCACAACTACAACAATCACCGAAACCACAAATGAACTCGAGCAAAAACTCTCTGCTGCTGGAGCTTCGGGAAGAACAAGACGCATTAACAAATTCTCAAAAAAAACTTGCAAAAAAATTACGTCATGAAACGAGTAATAAAAATAATAATAAAGATAATAACAAATCTAGTAATAATAAAAATATACACGATCCTACGTTACCTTCTTCATCATCAAAGTCCAAGAAATCATCTGATCCTGTGCAGAAAAAAGAGAAAAGTATAGTAGAGTTTTATTGCATTCCCGCGAGTAGGATAGAAGATATGACTGATGAAGACAGCAATGGACTTTCTGGTGACGATGATTATGATAATGCCATGGAACGAGAACGTGTTCCCTTTGCCAATGATCGAAAATTAGTGTACAAAATATTAAGCGCCGTGTATAAACGTACTGTTACACCGAATATTGATGTTCTCGAAACGTATAAGCGTGGGTCTATTTCGCATATTATAATGACGTTAATGCTTTAATTAGTTTAATATATATAGAATTATCCCTTACTTAATTGTTTTTTTTTAGCTTGGAGCCCTCAGGTTTATGGTGAATTAAAACGGAATTTAATTCATGATATAATTCAGAAAACAGCATTGACACAGAACTCTATATTTCTGGACTTTGGATGTGGGGTCGGTAATGTGATCTTGCAGGTGGCTGCGGAAGCAGGTTGCTCTGTCTACGGTATAGAATTTAATCGAGAACGATATGAGATGGCTATCAACCAACTAGATGAATTTCGTAATAAAATGCGGTAAATTTTATTTGATAACAAATATCAACAAAAAACCCAAATCTACGTTTATTTGTTCTATAATTTATACATCTAGGCGATATGAAGTTCCGCATGGCGAGGTCACAATATATCATGCCGATTTTCTAAACTGTCCTCCGATAAACGCGATCCTTTCAAAAAAACAAAAAGTTGTTGTATTAGTAAATAATTTTATGTTCGAGGAAGAAACACGATTGAGTCTGTTACAGCTGTTTCTACAGCTAGAAGACAGTGGGCAGATTGTTTCGTTGAAGTCGTTTCGATTGGGACGACATAAAATAAACGGCTGGAACTCGGGAGATATCGCAAATATATTGCGAGTAGAAGAATACCCATACGGAAAGGGATGGGTGTCGTGGAGCGCTAGTGAAGGAAAATATTTCGGTGAGATTTTATTTAGTGTTTTATTTGGTGCTAAAGTTTATTTTTGAATGAACTGTTTATGAAGTGATTTCTATTCTTTTTGATAGTCGCCACAGTAGATCGAAGCATCTTGCGCGAATGGGAAGAGAAACAAGTGAATGGATTCATAGGGCCTGAAACAAGAGTGACAAGATCGTCACGTAGATCAAAAATAGACTAATGTAATAAAAGAAATAATGGAATTCTCTTTCGGTCTCTCTATATGTTTGTAACAAATATATAGTAAATATTTGTAACAAATATATGAGATGTTTTTGTTCTGTATTAATGGTGCCCTTTACATGGACTTGTCCTACAATTCTGCGATGAATGTTCTTATTTTTCTGCAGCCTGTATATATAAGTGACATTTCGATATTAAAACTTTTCGTGAT